GTGAGATGAATTATTCCCGTCTTTCCTTTTAACGCCGTACTGCGCAAAAAGTATGTACAAATGCTGTGCACGAAAATGTCTGCAACTTCCATGAAAAGAGCAGCATTCTTGGCTGATTTCGCCTGCAATTGCTTCCTGGTTGAGGCCAGGGAAAAAGTCAGTAGTAGTAAGATGGAATTTGCATAACGCAAACGGCAATAGTTTTGCCAAAAAAAAAACTGGCATCCGCATGAGCACCAAAGAGAAAGCGGCCCGTGAAACTTGACTTTTAATACACGTTGAGCATACTTCTGTAGCGCAAGAGAATGCACATCCAGTGCTGGACTCGGGTGAATATATGCCCTGTGACACCTACCCATTAGCGTGAAATCGGTAACATCACTCCAGGAATGTCTGCCCGGCAGGCTCTTTTCAGTAGCCTCCGTCTAGTTAGCAGCGAATCCGTCCAGTGACTTCCGTCCAGCGACGGTTTCTGCTGGCAACCCCACAGAGCCGTCGGAGCGCAGTGACGTTCGTCCAGTGACGGTTTCTGCTGACGACCCCACAGAGCCGTCTGAGTGCAGTGACGTTCGTCCAGTGACGGTTTCTGCTGACGACCCCACAGAGCCGTCGGAGCGCAGTGACGTTCGTCCAGTGACGGTTTCTGCTGACAACCCCACAGAGCCGTCGGAGCGCAGTGACGTTCGTCCAGTGACGGTTTCTGCTGACAACCCCACAGAGCCGTCGGAGCGCAGTGACGTTCGTCCAGTGGCGTCTGTCCCCGCGAGCCGTCAGAGAAAGCCGGCGGCCAGCGCCCGGCCAGGGCGTGGACGATAATCAATTTCTCGGAGAGGACGCGCGACCGGCAAGGAGGTCAGACGGACGGGCGCCGCGTCCGCGCTCCGGCGACTGGCCGGACTGGACCACTTCTGCAGGCGGCGGCACGACTCGATCGGTTCGACCAATCGCGATGCCTGCGCCGGGGTACACAGCACAGCAGCGGCGAGCTGTGATCAGGGACTGCATCTCGGCGGCCATATCGTGATCATAGCGCCATAAGTGGTGCTAGGAATCATTACACCGCAAAATAAGCTGCGCTTGGTTTGAGACGAAGAAAAGGCTTTGGATGTTCGCAACGATGGCCGGCCGTAGGATTTCAAAACAGCTTACACGCAACGGGAGAGAAAATAAGTAATGAAAACACGGATCGTCAAGACATCACCGCGCACTTGACTACTTCCAGATCAATAAAGGCTCGTTAGCGTCATCAACGTGACAATAGATCGACTACTGAAGCGTTAATGGAACTAAGCAAGGATTCCACCTGTTCATTTCATCTTCTACCTTTCCCATCTTCACATACTAAGCATATAGTGATTATGAATGGTCAGCCATGGATTTTATCGCCATGCGCCTTCTCATCAACCTGCGGAACAATATTAAATGCTGCGGGACTTAAAATGAGTGCTTTTCCAATGTTGACACCTGTCACGATCGAATATGTAAGAACACCAAGGCGAAAGAGCAGAAAAGGTATCATTTACATACGAATAATACGCTCATCAACTTGAAAAAACAGCGAGTAATTGGATCCGTTTTCCACCACGCTGTGATCAGTTTTAGAACTCCCAAGACAATTGCTTGTTTATATCACGCTTGCCATATCTTTCCTGTCCACAGAAGCAGTGTTCTGCGAATCTCGACGTTGTAAAATCTTCCCTAACCCTCTGAATAATGGATGCAGCGAAGTAATGTGGCCTTGGCTAGCCCACCGTCTGTCGTAAATCGTCGGGCCCGAATAGGGAAACAGCGATTCGCCAGGCCAACAGGCCAAATGTCAAATCCCTTTCTCAGTAAATCGCAGTTTTACAAAAACGTGATGTTTTTGCCTAAATAGCATGTTCCCATTATGAATACTGAGTGACACATTCAGTGAACATGTGAGATAACCGAAACTATTTCTAACCCAGTGTATGTGGTACGCAACATCATTACACACACAATGTCCCCGACCATGGTTTGGCTCTTGAAATGCAGTTCCTGAATGCACCATAACCACTTCACCGGCGACCTTTCTGACTTCCCGACGCCTTTGTGTGACTTGTGCTCATTTAACGGATGTAATTTCCATAGCTGCGGCCATGCACAATGCGCACAGCATCGTTTGTTTTAATGCTTCAGCGTCCATATGTGACAACGTGATGTGAAGCACTCACGTTTACATCCGCGTCAAATATCTGCGAAGCTGTCAATTACGTGCATCAACTGTCACGTGTGTACGACAATTGCAACCACCTGTTGTGTTAAGTATCTATCAAGTATCCACCACGTCATTCTAAATTTTTTACGTTCAACATTAAATTTCCAATATGGGCATGACTATGAGCCATCTGGTGCTATTCTTGCATGAAGATTACCCCGCCCACCACCTCAGTAATCCCACCGTCGCTTGACTTACCGCGCTGCCATCCTGCTGCGCTGAAAGTCCCTGTAGTATCGGCAGTGACCGGTGGGCACCGGCAGCCTGTCACACGGTTTTCCTCTCTCTCGCACCACCGCCTATATGCTCGCGTGCATTCCCGGCTGGCCGGCGGGCGCCTCGACTGCAAGTGACACGGCGGCGGCACGGCGCGCGACTGGGGAACAGCCTCGCTTTCACCCGACTCCTCCGCGGGCGGTAAGGCCATCTGCCCGCCCGCCGGCGCGGTTCGCACCACAGCCGCTAGGCGTCGCCACGCTCTACACGGCTGGCTGTGCAACTTTGCATGCCGGCCGGGCATGACGGCGGCCGGGAGTCCAGCCAACTGGCCATTCCGACCGGGCACATGACGGCGGCCGGGAGCCCAGCCAACCGGCCATTCCGACCGGGTATGACGGCGGCCGGGAGTCCAGCCAACTGGCCATACCGGCCGGGCATGACGGCGGCCGGGAGTCCAGCCAACTGGCCATACGGACCGGGCATGACGGCAGCCGGGAGTCCAGTCCAACTGGCCATACCGACCGGGTATGACGGCGGCCGGGAGTCCAGCCAACTGGCCATACCGACCGGATATGACGGCGGCCGGGAGTCCAGCCAACCGGCCATTCCGACCGGGCATGACGGCGGCCGGGAGCCCAGCCAACCGGCCATTCCGACCGGGCATGGCGGCGGCCGGGAGTCCAGCCAACTGGCCATACCGACCGGGTATGACGGCGGCCGGGAGTCCAGCCAACCGGCCATTCCGACCGGGCATGACGGCGGCCGGGAGTCCAGCCAACCGGCCATGCCGGCCGGGCATGACGGCGGCCGGGAGTCCAGCCAACTGGCCATACCGACCAGGTATGACGGCGGCCGGGAGTCCAGCCAGCTGGCTGTTCCGACTTGGGACTGCTGACATGCACGGTCTGTATGCCATGGCGTCGATTATATGAATAGTCGGGGAACGGGAGGGGGGGGGGGGGAATCCAAGGAGATGTGGGCTCGACAACCCTACCTTCCCTAAATGTGTGTTTCTGAACCGATTTATCCAGCTGCATTTTGAAAAAAAAACACTTGTTATCGAGATTGATACGATGATCCTTTAGCTCAATAGCATAGACACCATGACAACGAAATAATTATAACAGGGCGTAAGCCTTGTGTGACATTTAATTGTGTCTGACTTTTAGCTTCAACTGCAATTTTTCCACGTCTAGTGTATTGCAGCAAAACTGTTGCACGGCCCACACCAGTTGGCGGGAGTCAAGAAAATAGACATTGTATACCAGGGCCTCTCGAAGCAATTCTAATCGACACTGTTCCGAAAACTGTTGCGGTCTGCTCGTGGATGTTATAATCAGGCAAGTGAGTCATTGCCGGTGCAATATCAGGACTAGGTTTAGCTCATGGAAGAAGTTCTCAGATTACTTCTAAAGTTCACAGAGGATGAGTCACATGTTGGATAAGTCTTTACGTTCTCCGGTATTTAATCTCTGGTATCAGGTGACCAGAAGCTGCACAGCCTACGACAACACGGCGTGAATACTGAAACTCAAAGTGCTTGATGAATGTGAGTCAAGCCCCTCGTAGCAACTGCATTATTGCATGAGGCACGTTCATACGTAACATGACTAAATGAAGTATAGGTGTAGGGCTCGTGTAGAGTGTAGTATATGTTAGATGATATAATCATGGTCATCGCTGGGCCGCACCAACACATAATCGCACACGTATGGTGCCACGTAGACAGTTAAACACATGATTTAAAGACATCGAACCTAAAAACACAGGTCAGCATAAACAGAGGGCCTTAGAGGCACAGAACAGATTCAGACGAAGGGCCGGAGATCCGTGAGACCTCACAGACATAAACCGATAAAGACACAGGTCTATGCATAAATGGGACCATGGAGACACCGTCTGAGTGGAATAGAACCATGCAGAGAAAAAAAAACGATGACACATCGGGACGGAGCCAAAGGGCAGACCACGTGGGCCAAATCTCCCTTCTCCCACAACAAGCTAGGAGGCTTTCACAGGACAAGAGATGATTTCACGGGAATTTGGCCAAAATTCGCAGAGTTCCAAGAAAATTGGGTATTTGTTTCCCCTGACGAACATTTTGGTTACGTGCCTGATAGACACGGGATGGAGCAAACGTAGGGTCATACGAAGGATGAACATACGGTGGTGCTGATGCAGAGCCACACAGAAACCGGACAATTAGACACATGATGGGACTAGCGTAGGAGTATGTATGAACAAATGTTCAAAAAAGCCGTAGAGACAAACAACGGTATGGAACAGCCACCTTACATGCCAATGGCTATGGAGACACAGGAAGGTACTGGCATACTGCAAGGACACGACAGAACCGTACGTACACTGGGCCATGAGGTAAAGGGTTGGGAAGACATGTTGCCGCATGCATACTGGCTGTACAACAGACATAGGATCTTGTAGAAATCGGACACTGACACGGAGCCGCGCACGAGACATAGGCACGAGGCTATCAGCTGTGCAGGCGTAAACCACATGATCGACGGAAGGCTCAGTGGAACGCGTCACGTTCGGTCGGGCCGCTGTGAAGGGTGACGCCCGACAATGGGGAGAGACCACCGTCTGCACCAGTCGGGTCGGGCCGCGGTGAGCCAGCGCGACGGTCCACCGCCGCTGCTCGGAGCTGCACTCTCGCCGCCGGACGGCGGTTTTCTCCTGCGTCAACGGCGAGCTGATTCGACTCCGATGTTTGCACTCGTGACAGCGTGCTGATTCAACTCTGATGTGTGGGCTCGTGGCACCGAGCTGACTCAACTCTGATGTGTGCGCTCGTAGCAGCGAGCTGATTCGACTCTGATTTGTGGGCTCGTGGCAGCCAGTTGATTCAACTCTGATGTGTGCACTCGTAGCAGCGAGCTGATTCGAATCCGATTTGTGGGCTCGTGGCAGCCAGCTGATTCGACTCCGATGTGTGCGCTGGTGGCAGGGAGCTAATTCGACTCCAATGCTTGCGCTCGTGGCAGGGAGCTGATTCGACTCCGATGGGTGCGCTCGTGGCAGGGAGCTGATTCGACTCCGCTCGTGGCACTCACGACATGGATTGAGGGAAGTGTGCTGGCTCTGCGGCGGGTAGACAGCGCGTGCTGGACTCCTGGCTGGCGGGACCAGTGGGCTCATCGGCCTTGTCATCGCACTGAATTCGTTTCATTCAAACATCAGTGACACAGTAGGCACGCTTTTTACTGATGAGTTCGCGTAAAGCCGGTCCTTTGAAATGGTGCGGATCAAGGTGATTTTCGGGCTGTACAAGGGATCGATTAAGGGATGTCCGTGTCCTTGCTTCATCGACTAGCGAGGGATCCTGCTTTTGACAGACGATAAATCGCGGAAAATACCAGAGCCCTGACTGCTAGGATAATCCCCGGAAAATGACAGGCCTGACTGCGGCGACGGAGGTTTTCAAAATGGCGAGGTATACATTGTTGCAATAAATATGTGCGGGCTGCCAGCTAATTCCTGGAGAGGAGCAGCACATTGGGCTTTAGCCATCCTGGCCTGATTAACCATAACAAGAGACAGACCTTTTTCCTTTTTGTGTATGTGCTTTTCCAAGAAGTAAAATAGGATGCAAACCGACTGACCATCTAGGCAAATTATTGAGTCTAACGCCAGTCATGGGAGAAGAGGCCTGGAAACGAACTGCAATAGCAGAATAATGTCCAGGTAAGGACCATACATTCCTGAATAACGCTTAGGGTGACGCTTACCACTTGAGCCCACGTTCATTACGACGATGCATTTCAAGTCTTTTAGGGTTCGTCCCTTAACACGCGCCCGAGTGGCCGGTTGAATGCCTTTCGCCTGGGTGAGGTTCAGTTTGAACCCGCTGTGATTTTAAAGAGTAATAGAGGCAGAGACGTCAAATTCACAGGGTAAGTTTGCCTGCATGTGAGCTCACTTGTGTCAAAACTTAAGGTTCTTAGATTGTGAACTTCGGGTCAGATAAGGTCAAACTCAAAACGGGTGTCGAAAGTGCCTCCAGACTTCCTCATGCAACCTTCTCGAAACCAGATACGTTTTTAACCAAAACGCCACTGTTTTTTTACATAATTTGAATGGCCTTGTTTGGCCTTTAAAAGGTCATGGTGGCCAAAAACCCGCGAGATTATCTTGATTTTTGGCATTGAATAAGCGTGGAGAGTTACGCTAGGCGGTACGTACCTAAAATCAAACATTGAACTGGGTCATTTCAGGTCAGTAACCTAGCCTGACCTTAGGGAAGTTCGTGGAAGATGTCTGTTGCTGTTATTAATCCCTGTTATTAATTGGTCTCCGTTATTGATATATTTGAAACGCAAGTTAGAGACTATGCCATGAAACAAGCTCTCGAGTAAAAAGCAGGTTTGTTTTGATTTCAGACTGACCCTTATATCTGACCCAAGGCTATCCGACCCTAGGTCAATGGAATGTATTGTTATCCTGGATTTAATCGTTTCATTGCCTACGAAACTATTCCAAAGATATATGGCCATGTGTAACACTGCGTTCTCGCATCAGATTGAACGATTCCCTAGAACTTACCTTCGTTGACAGCCACGACCTGGCTTTGACCCGTTATAGGTCAGCTATCTTACAAGGTACATATAATCCTGTGTGCTGAAAGATCTGCTATTCCATTCCTACAGCCATGCAAAGTTCGGTGCGGCAACCCCGCTCCGTTTGGAAACTGGTCTGTTAAAGCCTTCGGAGGGGTCAAATCGACTTCCACCTGTGCGCGTGCTAACACATTGGCCTGCTCAGCACCACGCAGAGTCTTTTTTCGAGAGCCCCGGAACGATTGTGGAATAAACCTCTTGTTGCACCATTTTACGTAATCCCCGATAATCCGGATGATTCCGGATGATTCCGTGCTTCCGCCCTTCAAGCTTTACTTTGCTGACTCTGGCCGTTTTTGCCGCTTCATCAACCTGCAACTGGTTGAGCCGGAAGACTGCATTTCACCAGACCGGTGTAGGCAATATTATACAGTGTAAGCAATCGCTCATTTGATTGCTGGTGTAATG